GGGGCATGCAAATAGTACGGCGTTGAGTTGGATGGCGCATGGTAGTGCCCAAGCGACGACGGGTGCTACGGCGGGGCCACATCATTACTCGGTTGGGATCGATTCAGTGGTTGCGGGGTTCGAAGACATCCCACTACCCGTACCGATAGAGGAGGTTGAGATAACAACGCTTTGGAAAGCTGTAGGTAGCTTCGTTGATTGGCCACGTGCATGGGTGAAGTTGATTAATAAGGAGGTAAATTATTTAGTTCGTGTTAAATTTTTAGGCACTCTTAAAATAAAACCGCCAAATATATTTTTTTTTTACAATATGCAAGGTCCGCCAAGTTGATTTAAAAAAGCTCAAATTTTTTTTTAAAAAAAAATATGCAAGTTCCGCCGCCCCGGGACACCCGAGGGAGCCGCCCCCACTGCCGGAACAGCGAAGGCAGCCCGCGCCGAGGCCACAGCAGCCCGAACAGGTGGCTGCCAAGGCTGTAGTAGCCACGGCAGGTGGCTGCCAGTCTGCTGCACCCTCGGCAGCAGCCTGCCTGGGCTAATAATAACCTATAGCAACCTAGTGATGATTATTGCTAATAATAACTAATTTAGTAACCTATAGCAACCTAGTGATGATTATTGCTAATAATAACTAATTTAGTAATCATACAACTAATCAAATTTGAATGTACTTTTTTTTACTACAGTGTTATGAAGAAGTTACATTGTCGTGCTCCAAAGGGTCCAACATGGAAGTCACCGTTGGTAATTTACATGATATTGTGATTATTTTGTCAATCTATGTTAGTAAATATTTGCTCATTTCCTTTGCATGTTTCACTGATGTGATTTGTTTGTCATATGCTAGAGCGCACAACAAGAGAATGGACTTGATTGTGCTTTGTATGTGATGAGATTCATGCTTGACATTGTGACTCATTGTACGGACACTCAACAGCTTGATGAGGTAAGTCCTAAAACTTATTGAAATGCTATATTGATGTGATTTCTAGCCTTAGACACCTAATATTACCCAACAATGGCATGTTATGAGAAACAAAAAGGCTATTTCACAAGAAAGGTAGAAAATGGGCTGAATATAAGTCATATGGGCCATATTAGGGCCATTTTGTGTTAATATGCTCTTTTGATGTGATTTATTTCATTATACACCTATAACTAGATAATATTGACATGTTATGAGATAAATAAAGTTCATTTAATAAGAAATGTAGGAAATGGGCAAAGTAAAGTCATATAGGCCATATTCGGGCCATTTTGAGTAAAAAGCGTCATAAACCTTAATAAAATGCTCTCCTATACAATTTTAGGGCTTACACACATACAATTACCCAAAATTGAAATGTTATGAGAAAGAAATAGTTCATTTGATAAGTAATGTAGAAAATGGACTACATAGAAGTCATATAGGCCCTATTTGGGCCATGTTGAGTAAAATGCGTTGTTAAACTTATTGAAATGCTATATTGATGTGATTTCTAGCCTTAGACACCTAATATTACCCAACAATGACATGTTATGGGAAACAAAAAGGCCATTTCATAAGAAAGGTAGAAAATGGGCTGAATAGAAGTCATATGGGCCATATTAGGGCCATTTTGTGTTAATATGCTCTTTTGATGTGATTTCTTTCCTTATACACCTATAACTAGATAATATTGACATTTTATGAGATAAATAAAGTTCATTTAATAAGAAATGTAGGAAATGGGCAAAGTAAAGTCATATAGGCCATATTCGGGCCATTTTGAGTAAAAAGCATCATAAACCTTAATAAAATGCTCTCCTATACAATTTTAGGGCTTACACACATACAACTACCCAACATTGACATGTTATGAGAAAGAAATAGTTCATTTGGTAAGTAATGTAGGAAATGGGCTACATAGAAGTTATATAGGTAATATTTGATAAAATACATATTGTTTTGCCTAATTAATTAATTTTAACATAATGTTTTTGTATTACAAGTTTTGCAAGGTCCAAAAGGATGGTCCGTTGACAATCAAGGAGCTTAATGAAGTTCGTGACATGTTGGCGTCTTTTATCACCTTCAACATGTAAATTGCATTGTAATTGTAAATTATTTATGTTAACTTTTGAACTATATAACTTATTATTCATTATATATGTACTTACTATTATTTGTATATGTAAGCAACTTTTTTTTTTTGTATTGCGTTTGGGAATATTTATATCTATATATATAATTGAATTCTTTTTTTTAATATTATTTTTATTTGTATCTTATTGTAATAATTAATAATATTATTATTATTAGTTATAATAATAATAATAATAATAATAATAATAATTATTATATTTAATATAATTGCTGGAATTACAGGTTATTATTATTGCTGGAAACAAGTTTTTTTTTAAAATATTATTGCACGAAAATTGGAAAAAAAAAACAAAAAAAAAAATTGGTGAATAGGCACCGGTTAGGCAGCAACCGGTGCCTGAAATAGCTACCACCAATAAAAAAAATTGGCGGGAGAGCAGTTTAAGGCACCAGTTAACCGGTGCCTAAGTGGGCATATTGCACCGGTTAATCGGTGCCTATTTCACCCTATGGCACCGGTTTTGAACCGGTGCCAAAAATTGGGGTTTTGACACCCCCCACATAGGCAGCGGTTCAAACCGGTGCCTTAGACCGGGTTTGAACCGCTGCCAAACCCCTTTTTTCACCTAGTGATAGCGCATTAAAAATAGAGCTTCCGACTAGGGAGTTACCCCAATTGGCACCTACTATGTCACACCTTGATGACAGAATTCCAGTGCATAAATATTAATAAAAGAAATTATTGTGTCCTATACCCCTGTAGAAGCTATGGTTAAATATAAAACCCCATAACTCCCCTCCATATGTTCATACTCAAGGTATATACATTCCAAGAGCTAGTTTTGGTGCATATCCTCTTACACTTTAGGTGATTTATCAATTTGACATGTGAAGACTTCAACCAATTAATCTAGAATAAACATAATAAAAATCAACACATTCCTCCAATTAATTCTTGAATTAATTAGTGAGCAAATACTATATATTTTAATTAAGGTTCCTTGCCTAGTTTTATCCACAAAATTGCACTATTATTACCTTGGTGCATAAAGCACACGAATAAACTCCTTGACTCGATCTCAACTTACTTGAGTGAGCAAATAAATAAACTAACTTCCTTGACTCAGCATCAATAATACATGGGTGAGAATAAAATTCATGAATCAAATTCAATAATTCTAATTATAGTTCTTTTAAACATATATAAGCCTAACTTATTAATTTCATGCTTCCTTGATAGTGAAAAATAAAACATACTTCCATGATTCACATATATTCAACTTGTATCGTGCTTCAAATATCATATTCACTTGCTTGCATAATAATTCATGTTCACCCAACATCAATTCCAAGCATATAATCAACCAAACATGCTACTAATTCATCACTTCAATCACAATTCACAATCCTAACATGATACCACACATACACAAATATTCTTGTGCACATACGTACCTTGAATAACGCCTAAACTCGACCACACTTTCTAGAAATCACCTAGCTCGAAACTTCCTACAATTAAAATACATAACTATAATTAATCCATTATTCCCGCAAATTTCCAGCAACTATAATAATATTTAAACCATACTAATAATTAACCACTTTTAATGACATAAAAGCCATACAACATTTTCTTTAAGTGGGTACTTTTTCCCTTTTATGGGTAATCAAACCCTAACTCAATAATTTAAAAGTAGTGTGTGTAAATTAATTCCAAAATTAAATAGAAGGGTTGAAACTCATCAAAAACATGATTAAACCATGAATTAATCAATAACAACAACCTAGCATCAATCCCTAACCAATTATACAAAATCCCTAATTTCTAAGGTTTATGTTTTGGGATTTTTAATTAAATAAAAATCTGAAATTTATATCAATAAATTAGCAACATCAAAATCCCAAAATCAACACCAAAACATAATAAAAATCATGCCTTTAAAATAATAAATCAATAAAATTAATTTTAGGATTAAAGAAGAAGAGGTTTTTTTTTTTAAAAAAAATAAAAAATTAATACACACACCAACCAAAAAAGGAGAAGGAGGAGAGAGAGTGCCCGAACGATTGGGCTGCCGGCGCTGCTGCCGTTGCCTGTGGTGGTGGCCGTGCGTGAGGTGGGAGAAGGAGAGAGGAGAGTGCGTGGGATTTTAGGGGAAAAAAGAAGAGAAAAAGAAAAGAAAAATAAAGCAAAAAGAAGGGAGAGAAATTAAAGAGAAAACTTTGATTTTTTTTTTGTGAAATCTGACAATTATGTATTGGAAAAATCTTGAGGTTTTAAATTATTTATACTTTTCTTTTTTTTTTTGAGGAAAATTTATACTTTTCTTTTTAAAAATAAAACATATATTTACAACTTTGCCATTATTAATTCAGAATATCTTACAAATTCTCCGTTTGGGCCAACTTATTAGGCCCCTAAATTCCCAATGAGTTGGTTCATTTCTTTAAATACGATTGACCCAAATAAAAATACTTTTGTTTCCTCAATTTATGATCCATTTTTTTAAAAAATAATTTTATGATCTATTTTATTTATACACACTTATAATTTATTTAAATAAATAATTTCTTTTTAAAATAAAATAAATCATTTTAATAAATAAAATAATTAATTTATCTATAAAAATATAATAAAAATACGGAGTATTACAATCTATCTGGTCATGATGACACGTGACGGGCTCATGTCTTCCCATTGAGTTTTGACCAAACTTTAGTAGATTATTTTTCAGATTCATAATACAGAGTACTTCATATTGCGTAATTTATTAATATGTAATTTCATAATTTTTTTAATCATGGAAACGATGTAATATGTTAGAAGTTAGCCCGTGCACTTCAACCTATTTTAACTGAACTTATTGAAATTATTACAGTAAAAATAAGTTAGCACATGACATAAACTGATATACACAATTTAAGATCCTAGTTTAGCTTTTTCTCCGATTGAACATTTACTATCCCTTGGAAAGTTGCAATCATCATCTCATACAAATACCTAATTAATGCATCGCACTTAGAATCATACTCAACAAACCAAACCCAAAATCTCTCATACTATTTTCACAGCTAACGCAATTCATCAAAATTTCTCATTTCTCGAAATCAAATCTGCAATCAGTGGAATTCTGAGCATGAATTTTCGAAACTTAGATGATTTTTGGGCCTTTTACATGACTCATCACTCTAAGCCGTCGACAAGGCGTTGGCACTTTGCGGGTACACTTAGTGGAATTATAATCTCAATCTACTCTCTGTTGTTCAATTGGAAATTCTTGATTTTGGTACCATTAATCGGTTACGGCTTCGCTTGGTACAGCCATTTCTTTGTAGAAAGGAATGTTCCGGCAACATTTGGTCATCCAATTTGGTCATTCTTTTGTGATTTTAAGATGTTTGGATTAATACTAACCGGTCGAATGGATAGAGAGATTAAGAGACTTGGTAAACGGCCTGTTTTGTAATTTTTTTTTATTTTTCGCAGATTTTTTACTTAGATTCTTGTATATATTGTGACAATTTCTATTCAAGTATTCAATATTGTAAACCTTTAATGAGCTGATCGCTTTCATTATTTAGCTTAATGGATTTTTTGTTTGTACTGTTTGTGTTTTAATGTTAAAAAATTTGCATTCCCTTGTATGTTTTCAACCATAACCAAAAAACCATGTTGTAAAGTCTGAAACCTGGGAAAATTCTGCACAATGTCGCGGAATTTTCATGTGTTTTGTGGCCTAATTGTTCTGGGACAGTTCTTGCTCTCATGTGTCATAGCACTTATTCGTATTTTAGTTCTTATTGTAGTTCAGGTTTATGAACAAGACTTTAGCAACAGGAATTGATTCGTGGGCTGAATGGAAAATACTGCACAATGGCATGGAATTTTCATGTTTTTGTGGCCTAATTATTCAGGGACTGTTCTTGTTCTCATGTGTCATATAAGCGGTGTATTCTTATTGTAATTCAAGTTAAGGAACAAGACTTAAGCAACAGTGGTTGATTCATGGGTTAAGTGGATTGTAGCAGCACCATGGATTGTAAAAGCAATGATTATGGACCTCTCTTTACCGTTTGAACTAGAGAGAAGTTTTTCTATTCCCATGAGTGAGCATAGACCTGCTGACTGCTTGTGCTGGGATGGTGAGAAAGATGGCATTTATTCTGTCCGATCAGCCTATAAACTTACTTTTGATAGGGATTGTGAGGAAGCCAGTTCGTAAGGCCTGGAATTTTATGTGGTATGAGCCGGTTTTACCAAGGGTTAAAGTTTTCTTTTGGAGAGCTTGTCATGAGGCGCTTCCTACCAAGAAGAGGCAACATATCCGAATCAAGGATATTGATGAGGTGTGTGGTGTGTGTGGAGAAGAGAAGGAAGATGTTTCTCATGCCTTTCTTTGCTGTCGTCAAGCTATCAGCATTTGGGAGGAGTGTGGCTTTGCATGGGTGGTGGAGGGAAAGGGGAGATCGTTAATGGACTGGGTCTTTCAGAAGTTATGTTGCCTGGTTAGTGAGCATTGTAGCTGGGGGATGGTTCTCTTTTGGTCGATTTGGAGTGCCTGGAACTGTGGTTTATTTGAGAATGATTGGTGTGAGCCTAGAGGGATAGCTTCCTATGTGCACCAACTGATGGAAAATTCTTTTGTGAAAAAGAAGGGCGACGCTGTATAAAAGCAACGAGGCTGCTGGTGCCTTCCTGCTGCAGGGCGTATTAAGGTGAACATTGATGCGGGCTTGTTGTGTGATCTGAGAATTGGTGTGGGGGTTCTTGCGAGAACTGATGAGGGGAGTGTCTTGTGGTGTGTGAGCATAAGCTGGCGGAAAGGCTGGAGCCAAAGCTTGCAGAGGCAAAGGCCATCTTAGTGGGGATGAAGCTGGCTGCTGAGATGGGACATGATCAGGTTGAATTCGAGAATGATTGTGAGAACGTGGTGAATGCTATCAGAAGGAAGGATAAAGGCAACAATTCTGCAATTCGTTTCTCTTTTTGTGCTTGGGGTTGGATTCAAAGAGAAGGAAATAAAGTGGCGCATGACTTAGCCCATGCCCACCTATTGTTTTAGGAAGAAAGATTTGGTTGGATCAATTTCTAGATTTTATTTGTACTCTGTTAACTCTGATTTGAAGCAGAATATTAATTAATCCCTTGTGGGTTTCCTTCAAAAAAAGAAAAAAGAAGCAATGATTATGGTTTGTGAACCAAGGTGAACTGGTGAAGTAGTAAACTACATTGTATATGCCGGAAGACTAAAATCAAGCAGAAGGGATTGAATAAGCAGAGCTTGTCAATCTGGACTAAATGTGTGTTTGATCTTTTGCCTTGTACTGTCTTTTTAAATTTTCATACGCAGCATTGTTTTTGACATTGGCAATAGAAAAACTGCAGGCTTATACTCCAACTGTCCAAGTTCAGTCACCTGAATATCCTAAACTCTACAAACTGTCAAGATTTGCTTCCCGATCTTTCATCTATTTTACATAATTTATTTCTATCTGATGGTTGTTTGAAAGTTGTGAGGTTCCAATTTAGAAAGCATTCATGTTGTGGACAGTAAAGATTCAATGTGTGACCTCCTAATATTGAAGCTTAGGCATATCAGTTTGAAGCATCGAACAGATACCAAGGTACTGCAGGAACAACAGATACTTGATTCCTTACTTAAAGCAATCAGATCAAACATTTCTGAGCATCTTTTCTACTCTTTAGTAGATAACGTGTATGTGTTCCGTGATGAGTTCAACGACCTCCTCTTTCATCTGATACCCTCACTAAATCTTGCACATAACTGAAGTATATATTCCTAATAATAAAATGAAAAAATTGTCATCATGTTCTTTGATCAACTTCATTTTCTTGTATGAAGGTCTCTGAGATGAAAGTGGAATACTTCGCTCCAAAGGAGGATGCCATTCTCCAAAATGAAGCGCTAACTGACTTCTGCATAGTTGTTAATGACTCAATGGTAAACTTGTGGAACCAAATTAATGCCTATTAGATTAAGTAGCAAAAATGTTGCAGTTTTTCCTGATATAATGATATTTATATATAGAGGTTATAGAAACCAAGTAAATCAAAATTTTTGAGGAACCTATAACAACCAAGATTATAGTGGCCAAAGCCAAGGTTAAGGGTATGGGAACCAAAACCAAAATAAAGGTTTTGGTAACCACCACCAAAACTATGGCCAAAATCAAAATCAAAATACGGGGAATTTTCATAATAACAATCAAAGGGGACCCCCACCCGGTTTTGCTCCAATAACTCAAGGGCAATGGTGATAATTCCTATGTCCAACCTTCATCTTCTAGATCTAACTTGGAGGAAAACATTGAGAATCAAACAAAAATCTTGACACATACATGACGGTAAGTGACAAAAACAATGAGATGATGACACATAGCAAAATGTTTGAGACCCAAATTACTCAATTAGCAAACCCCTTGAAGGAAAGTGCTAGCCCTTCTTCTCTACCCTATCAAGGGAGTGATCCTAAGAAATTGGTCTATTATATCACAACTAGGAGTGGTAAGGTCCTTGAAGAAAGTATTTCTAGGAAGAGTAAGGAGGGAGAGAAGGTGAGTGATTTGTGCAAGGAGGATAATCATGATATGTCAAGGAGAGAGAGTACAGATGCAAAAGAGAAAGCGAAGATTGAAGAAAATGTGCAAGAGGATGTGATCAAACTCAAGCTTCCCTACCCTCAAAAGTTCTTGAGGAGCAAAATTAATGATCAATTTGGGATATATCTTGATATGCTAAAGGAGATTCATCTTTCTATCCCTTTTACTAATTCTTTGACTCAAATGCCCAATTATTCTAGGTTTCTTAAGGAGATATTGAGTGTCAAAAGAGTGTGTAATGAAGTGGAATTGGTGGATGTTGGGGAGTGTTGTAGCGCTTTGATCCATAATGATTTACCCCCGAAGATGAAATATCTCGGAAATTTCTCCATCCCTTGCAAAATCAATGACAATCTCTTTCAAAATGCTCTTTATGATCTTGGGGCTAGTGTTAGCAGTATGCCCTACTTCGTTTTCAAAAAACTTAAGCTAGGAGAGCTCCTTTCAATCAACATGACACTCTAATTAGCCGACCGCTATACCAAGTTTCCCAAGGGGAAAATTGAAGATGTTCCTCTCAAGATAGGAGATTTCACTATCCCCGTTGATTTCATTGTTCTTGAAATAGCAGAAGATGATAATATACCTATCATCCTAGGGAGACCATTCTTAGCTACTTCGGGTGCTTTGATTGATATGAGGGGTGGTCTTATAACATTACGTGTTGGTGATGATAAATCGAGCTTTAAGCTTAAGTCAATGTATGAATCTTTGTCCTATGTGAAGGGTATTATGTTTGTCAATTCCCCTCTCTTAAATGATAATGTTTGCATGGTTGTGTCTTCCTCTAACGATGTTTGTGTAGTTCGTGGTGATGTTTCTTACAATGTTGAAAGCTAGTTTGGTAGTCAAGATATCAAGGAATCTTTAAAGCTTGAAGATGAGGAAATTATTGAAGTTCCTTCATGGCTTGAGCTCTCATCAAAGGATGTTGAAAACGGCTCTTTATATGTTGATGGTGCAAACCGTCCACTAAAGGGAATAAGAAATCAAAGAAGAAAAAAAGAGTTCCCATGGAGAAGAAAAAGAAGTTGAAGAACAACAAGCTTGATTCGGTGTTTATCAAACAAGAAGATGCGTCTCATGGAGTGGATTTGCCAAAGATTGGCATAGAGTTTGACCTCCCAACCACTTTAAACAAGGTGGTTTTCTTTGACCCTCCATGATTTGGAGGAAGGGTCGAGCTACAGACCTAAAGCAAGCGCTTTCTGAGAGACAACCCAAACTTCTAACCTTTCTCTTTTCACTGTATCTTTCTATATTTTTCTTTTATTTTCTTTCCTTTCTTTCACTAGTTTTTGTGTTTGTATTTGTATGGTGTTTTCATGAGAATTGGACTGCTTTGAGCGAACATAAGCATTATTCGGCGGTGTTATGTGTTTCGCGATGAAAGTGTGCTCAACGTTCTTCAAATTTTGAGGCGTTTGGGTTAGGTAATTGCAAAGATGAGTGTTAGATTATTGGTCTAAGATGGAAAAAGAGGTGCTTGTAATGTGAAGGAAGTTTAATTTTGATGAGTTCATAATGGTGCTCTCATGAATTTGGGATGTTGAACCTACTGTCATGGTGTTATAAATCTGGTATGTTTACTGGGTATAATAATCTCGGGTTTAGCTTGAAGCTCAAGCCCATCATCGAACTCACCAAAGAGGGAGCCTTGCTGCGCGGGCGCGCACCTCCTATGAGTGGGCGCTCATAAGTGATGTTGTGCTTACTTATTCTTCTTTCTTTTCTTTTTTCCTCATTTCTTTCTATCCTACCTCACGACACTCATTCCTCTCTCTTGATAAACACAAACCCTAACCCTCACATCTTCCATTTTTTCCACTCTTAATCACTAATTCCTCACACAAAATCATCAAAATCCTACTAATTTTTCATCAAATTACCAATCTACATACTACTTTCCACTATTTCATCTTCTCCAAGCTAATTCCACCATTGGAGTCAAATTTGGGGATTTTTGAATTGGGGTAAATTTGTGCTCAAAACTTTGTTAATCTTGCTTCTTGTATGGTATAACCATCTTCTCTACTCATATTTTAGATTGTTTCATCATTTTTGATTGAAAATTTGATTATTTCATGATTGTGAATAGTTAGTATAATTTTTTGTTACTTTGATGATTAATTTGATAGTCTTGATGCATATGATTGTTGTTGGCTAATTCTTTTTTCTTAACATTTGTTGTTGTTGATTGTATAGATTTGTTGTGAAATTTTGGTGGCTATTTAGTGAATTTGGAATTTGTATTTTGGTTGTGGTAGTAGCATTGTAGTGTTGGTTATGGTGGTGGTTTTTTGAATTAGTGGTAGTGTTGTGCTATTGCTAGTGTGTTTGGTTGATACATTGGTTCATTGGTATTCTTTTTTGTGGTATCATCATGTCGAAAATCTTGAAATCTTTGACCTTAAAGAAGAGAAAAGGAAATAGAACCCAAGTGAGAATCGAGGAACCTACACATACACCCCAAACACGAGAGTTCATTGAGCCTTTACCTTTGCCCACTCTAAAAATTCAAAAACCCACTCAATAAACCAATCTACAATGATCTTAAGAAAAGAACCTTAAGACCTTTTCGCCACTATCACCAAGATATGATCAAATTGGATATCAATGAGGATTTATGGATGTTATTTGAGAAGGTCTGGATTGGTGTCTTTGCGAATACTTCCTATAGGACTTATCTTGAGCTCACAAGAGAGTTCCTAATTGCATATTTCTCTACTACTCCATTGAGTGAAGTCGAATTTGAAATCTCTTTCCAACTCTTCAACGAGCCTCAAACTCTATTTCTTGGTGAATTTAATGCGGCTCTAGACTTCAACCCTGTTGTCGGCCTCCTTTTCATAGAGCATGAGCATTTTAATGGGTTTGCAGAATATGCTTGGTAAAATTCTATCTCGGGAAAGGAAAGATTTCCACCCGATACTCCTTAGCTAGTGACATTTATCAACCTTGTCTTCGAGTCCTTCATCGACTATTAGGATACTCGGTTTTCCAAAAACATGATTTGGGAAAAATTTCGAGGCTAGAGTTTGTTGTGCTTTGGTTAGCCACCAAAGAGGATTGGCGAGGGAGGTTGAATATGGGGCATATTTTTATGAGGAATTAGGAGTCCATGGTAGGTGGAAGGAGGATCAGGGAGATAAATTGTGGTAGCATGATCACTCAGTTGGCTTCTCATCTAAGGTGTGATCTCTACTTAGCTTCATGTACTTCGGTAGGGGATGCAGAAGAGCTCTACCTCGACATCTCTCAACTAAAGCAAGTGAAATTCCTAGCGAAGAATGATGATGATTACGTGTTTTATTGGTTACTTAGGCATGTGCACCGGTGCTACCTTCCTAACCCTTCTTTGATCCCCTTGCAACAGGATGCTCCTAACATTTGGTTTGTTCCCTTAAGCAACCGACTTTTGGGTGATGATGAGATGGAGGATGTGCTTTATGGTGATGATGAACAACAACAACAGCAGCAACAACAACAACAACAATAACAACAACGACAACAACGACATCAATTCTCCAACCCCGACTTGGAGGCCTTGCAAGCTCAAATGCAAGGGATGCAATTAAACATGGACGGTATGTATGATCAAGACTTCGAGGCCATCTACAATCAAATGAGAGGCATCACGAAAATGCAAAAAGTTATGTTCCTACAACAACAACAATTATATAATGCTAATGTTAACCATGACGAAATCACCCCCGCGGTTAATTATCCATATTTTCCGCCTCAACTCAGTCACGTACCATATAGGGGGTGATGGTAAGCTACATACCCTTATTAGCCGGGTCCGCAAGGATCCAATACCGAGACCCGTTCTTTCCCGGATAAGCATGGTAACTATGATTATCGTGTGTCCGGTGGGAGCGACATCCCAAATACCCCTATATCAACCCCACCCATCCTTTTGCCCTTCAGTTGACAAAGCAATATACTCCCTTGGCAACAAGATAACTTCCGGGGTCATTAAGGTTGGCAACCCGGCTATATCGGGGGATGGGATCCTTATGATCTCCCATCCGGGATTTCCTATAATAGGGATTACAATGATGATGAGGCTGAGCCTAGCGGTCATTACTTCAACCATTTTGTGCTTTTTCCTCCATCCCTTTTATTATGTGATCTTTTGTTTTGATTGTTGAGATGTTTTCTGGCTTGGGGGGATCTTTTCTTTGTGGGGAAGCACCGGTGTGCCAATATTGTTGTTGAGGATATCCTTGTTTCCTCTTGCATTGATGTTTTGTGCATGCTTTCTTGATGCTTTGGTGATGTTGTTGGGTGTTGTTGTTTCGATGATGATTTAATGATAGTTCTTGATTGTTTTGATGATGATTTCTTGATGGTTCTTGACTATTTTTTATATTCATGATTGAATTTTGATGATGGTGATTATGTTTCGTGATGGTGGTGATTTTGATGGTGAGAATATTAATGATTGTGCTCCCTTTGAATCCAAATCCCTCTAATCCAAATCCCATTAATTCAAAAACCTATAGTGAAAATTATTTGTAGATTAGTGTATAATTTTATTTTGTTATTTTATTTTGAAGGTACTAACATATTTCTCTGTGTATAGTTTTCTTTTCCTTTCTCACATGGTTTTGTAGTTCTTTCTATAGCTTTGTGGAGCGCCGTGGAGGTGAAAATTTTCCCTTACCTCATTTATAGTAGCTTAGCTTGGATTGCTCAGTACGATCTTTATTATTTTTCCTCTTTAATTTTCTTAATGAGTTGAATGGTTCGAGGATTTTTGCTATTAACACCATATGGGTGTTTGAGGTCATTGACATTGTTGTCGAATGCCCACTTGTTTGTTGATTGGGATTTATATGGTTTAGCATGCATCTTTGTGCTTTTCTTGTTCTTTTCTTTTCCTTCTCTCATACTCTTTGTTTTTCTTTTCTTCATTTTCAAAAAAATAATAAAAAAAGATTTTTAGGCTTTGTTTTTGTTTTACTTTGATGTTTTGCTTATGACTTGGAAATAATACCATCCGAACTTAAACTTTTGAATAAATGATTTCCTATATGGTAACGGTGTGGACGGTTTGAGAGTATGCTTGGTAGATTCTAGGAGATAGTATACTAAGTTTGTGTGTTTAGAACTTTTGGGACCTTGAAGCTCGAGTTTACTTGTTTGTGAAAAGAAGGTGTTGCTTCCTATAGTGGATTTGAAGCTAATAGTGAGTTATTGCTACAACCATGTGAGTTTTCATTTTTCTAGCCTTCTACATATTTTGTATGAGCGGCACCTAGATCCTTGAATATCGCTTACTTTATCTAGAACTTGAATTTTATCTCCCGGGATTGCGACCGAACCATTTAGGAAGGATAAAGGCATCTTTTCATGGTGGTAATTTTTCTTTTTCTAGGATAGATTTTATCTCTTTGATTTTGGGTTTACATTTACCTCCTTGCAAACTATTTGAGCCAGATACCTCCTTTTCAAGCCATATCTTTAGCCTTTGAGCCATTTGTTTCATTTTTGTTTCCATTCTTGTTTTTTGTGAAGCAATGGTCCCTATTGTTGGAACATATGGTGTATGAGTTTGATTTTTTGGTTCTTTTGATGAAAGCTCATTTGTATTGTGGATATTATGTGAATAAAGGCAAATGTAAAGTTGAACAACCGTTCATAGTCAAAAGAGGCAAGAATAGATAATGAAGTGAAAAATTTAAAAAAAAAAAAAAAAAAAAAGATGAGATATAGCATAGCACAAGCAAATGTTTGGCAAAAGTGAAAAAATGAGAAAAAATTAAAAGCTTAAAATATTTTGATGTAAGTGTATTTCTCCCTATTTAGAGCATTAGGGACAATGCTCCATTTAT